AACCTGTTTCTCTCACTTTCATGGTCTCAAGTCCTGCTCTTTCGTAAGTAGATTACAAACCACAATCTGCTGCAACAAAAAAGTAGTTTTGGGGGAGTGCAGAAAAATGCAGTAACAGTGATCCTTAAGATAGGGAACATCCCTTGGATTGCAAGACAATCAAACCGGTCAGTCCTAGAGGAGATCAACCCTGACTGCTCTTGAAAAGGCCAGATGCTGAAGATGAAACTCAAATACTTTGGCCAACTAATGAGAAGGAAGGACTCACTGGAGAAGAGCTTAATGCTGGGGAAGATTGAGGGCAAAAGAAGGGGATGACGGAGAATGAGGTGGCTGGATGGAGTCACTGAAGCAGTAAGCTTAAATAGACTCCAGAGGATGGTAGAGGACAGGAAGGCCTGGTGGAATGTTGTCCGTGGGGTTGCAATGGGTTGGACACGACTTCGCAACTAACAACAAAGGGAACAGGTAGAATATGCCACACTGGAAGCCTATTCCTTACAGTTGACATTTAAAGCTTACACACTTGTACTTTTAACAGAAACCAAGGTGCAGTAAAGCACATATTTTAAAAGCACGTGAATGGGAAGTAAATGTTACACTGAGGGCTTGTTCTATATTGCTAAGATACCATAAAGACATTTGGCCTAATCTTTTCAGTGACAGCAACAAAGAGGTTCTGAAAGATCAAGAATGGCCGTGTACTTCATGCTGGAACTGCTCTGGAGAAAAATGGCACTAAGTACATACTTGTTCTAACTTGTCCTATATATCATTGTGGAATGCAATCAGATTGCAGCCAAAACCTGAAACTACAAAAATTCTGGGTTTTCTCCTGGCATATATTTTTAATTACAAAATATATATAGCCACCCATTTCATCAAGGGCAACTCTGGGTGGCACACAGTACTTGGATCACTGCAACAGATAAAAGCATAAAAATTCATATTCTGTAATAACTCTTCATTGATGGGAGAATGGTTACCTCAGTATGGAACCATATAAATCAGTCTCCTAAGAGCCCAGGCCTGATGACATAACCAGGTCTTTAAAAAAATCAAGGAAACCATCATTACATTACTACCAAAAAAGAAATTGCCTCTAAAATCTGACTAAAAACTATGTTTCTATTTCTATTGAATGACTATTTACTATTGGCTAAAAGAATTTACCAAAACCAATATAAATTCTTACCTAAGAGTTTTGGATATAAAACACACAAAACAAGCAAGAGGCATTTTAGATTTTGATGAGAACCTAAGGAAAGGGACCTTAGTGTAGTGTATTTAATAATACCTGTGATTGTTTCTAATTTCTTTCAAGCAAGCAGATTCCTCAGGTGGATTTTTTTTTTCCTGAGAAGTGGTCCAGGCCAGAAATGTATATAAGTGAACTCATAAAACTATTATGTAAAAATTGCACCTCTTGAATTCAATGAGTCATTAACAGGATCATGCTAATATTATGGACGCTATGAATTGTTACATGGAAGATAGCTGCTGGGCATGCTCAACTCAAATTATGCTAGCCAATGAACATGCCAAGTATGTTTCATTTGTATATAGATTTTTCTCTTAAGGGTCTTTCTACCTTGTATTTGTGAAACTGTTCTTACGCATATGTTAATGTACCTTTCCAGCTCAAGTGCTGTTTTAGTCATGGGCACACAAAAGAACCTTGCTATGATTTATGAACAAAAAAATGCACATTATCCCTATTGTTTATTTATTAAATTTTGTATGCTGTCCACTCTCAAGAGACTCTTTTGTGCCTCCAGTGTTAAAAAATAAACTGCCCGTATCACCTTTTCTGGTTTTATTATTTGCATGTCTTTTTAAATCCTCATCCAGTGCCATTTCTAAAACCGTTATTTTCATCCCTTTTCTTGGATTTCTGAATTTTGAAACCACCCGCGAGACATTTATGCTGATCTTGGAAGTTTTGAAGCAATTAAGATAAAATGAGGGGTATAGGTAGACATAAATTGAGACCATTATATGGTGTTAGTACAAGATCCATTTAAAGTTGATGGGAAAACTAAACATTTGGTATATTGGCTGATCAATCAAATCCAAAGTTAACAAAATGTATGAAGGCAGATTCAAGTAGAATTGAGAATGGTTTTAAAATTTAGGGAGGAAATTAACATTTTTTTAATTTGATAAGTATGAACTGTGTTGTTCCAAAATTGTAAGATATGGAATGAAATTTAAAAAGGCATCTTAAGGTAGGTTAAACCACAACTGCTATCTTTTTGCTGTTCATTTATAATGTAACAATTGGGGTTTTTTTTGAGGACGTCAAGTAAGTTTCAAAAAAAACTTCACTAAAGAATATACACATATCCAAATTAAAAAATAATTTATTAAGCATTAAACATAGATGTTTGCAGTAAGCAATATACATGCATGTAACTCCTACTCCACTATTCTATTCTGGGGCTTTAACCTTTTTATCTTTAGCTTTGCGGACTTCTTGAATCAGATCTTTTAAATATTTAATTTCTTTGCTCAGGGAATCAACTTTCGCTGTCAGGGCTTCATTTTTTTGCTCTAGTTCTCTACACTCTCCTGATAAAGCTTCTTGCTCTGCCCTTTTCTTCTGTCTATATCGTGTGGCAGCTGTCTTATTCTGCTCCATCTTCTTCTGTTTCTTATCTACTCTCTTTTCTTCTTTAATCTTTAATATTAAGATTCCTGGAGGGCGATCATAAGGCTTGGGCCTAACAGAAACATCAAGTTGGATTGTAACTGATTGGTTATCACTGAGGGAACTAGTAGAAGTGGCAGGACTTCGTTGAGGTGACTCTAGGTAAGACTCTGGGCTCATACATATTCCACTATCATTGTCAGAATGTACTTCATCCTCTTTTTCACGCTTGGGAAACACTAAAGTAGTGGGGGTTTCTGTTTTCTTGTCTCCTTCAAGAATGTCTACTTCACTACCTAGCTCTAAACTGAATGAATGGTCAACAGTAGAAATCAATGGCCCTTGGGGTACTGGAAATGGCAACAATGTAGTCAATGGGGCCACCTGGTCTGCTTCAGGAGACCTGGGGGATTGGTTAATTGGTTCTGGCATTAATAAACTTTCTTTGTTGGGAATTTCTTCAATGGGCGGGTCAAGCACATCACACGTGTCTTCCAACGTGGCCATGAGCAAATCTGGGGAGACGGTGGCTTCCAGATCAATACCTAACAGCGCATCAAAGTCAAACTCCTTCAGGTCCATCTTCTCCACCATCCAATCCATGCCAGAAAAGGCATCCTCTGTAAAACAAACAAAATGTGATCTTAATAAATACAAAAAAAGTTCTCCCTCTGCTTTAGATCTATCAAACAACTATATACATTTAAATAGATGCATTAAAAACCTCAAAAGGTTACCAAATATTGGCAGAATATAATTTATCTTACCCTGGTTGCTGTCTGTGGCATTATTCCAACTGTCCACATCCAGCGAATCGGAGAAGCCCACTTTAGCCTTAGCGCTGGAGAACCCATGTGAACTGACGTTCTTGGCCACCTCCAAGTAGTCATCTAAGAGCCCCAGACCTATATCAGCCACCAAACACTGCTGGCTGAATGGGGACAGAGAGTCCCCCAACAACATCTCTGTGTTTGAGCAGCTCATTTTGGTCAAGTTTTAGTACTTTGTTGTCAATTTGTCTGGACAAATAGATGGTGTCTTTATCAATTACAGCAAAGCTGCTGTGTGATGATTTGAAAAACCTGGAATAAACAAGATAACAATTATTATAAAGAGCTTTTTAGATTTTAATTTCAAGTTAAAAATCACACAGGGCCAATTATGCATGGTAATACTGCAGCAATGACTCCTACAGTTCCAGTCCCGTCTCCCCCCTCTAGGCTTCATCTAAACTATCTGTCTTAGACACCAATTAGAACTACAGTACAACAGCGCCAACTAGAATTTGTTCAGCAAGTCAGCCCTCTATTTCCTCCTAACTACACAGCCTCAATTCAGTCTCCACCCAGCTTGGTCTGATTCATGAATTCATCAGTGACAACAGCTGCAGCCATTTCATGATCTGCTTGCTGTGCATGTCTATAACGTACAAATAGGCCGCCATTTTGTATCCTGCCACGTTTCCATTTAGGTCACTGAGAATCTTAATGATTGTTAACATATATCAGACACATAATACCACATTTGTTCAGATCTACTTATTTAAAAATTGGCGCTTTCCGCAGAAAAGTTTATTTTAAACCTACAGATAATTCACTCTCTCTTAATCTTAAAACAATTCAAACCTGTATTCCACCCAACGCCATTAGTTATTTCAACAAAATGGTGTTTTTTTAGACAGTCCTGTCAGTATATTTATAGATAAAAAATTTAATTCGTGGTATTTCTGTTGTGAAAAGCTCTTTAGATCAGTGTTTTTCAACCTTTCTTGTGCAAAGGNGCTATTGGAAATTTTAAAAAAACAATTCTATTTATACACAATTGATACAGTGTTTCCCCAAAAATAAGGCAGGGTCTTATTTTCTTTTGACCCCCAAAATATGGCTTAGGCCTTATTATCTGGGGGGGGGGTATTGTCTTGGGGTTGCCGGGGGGGCTGCTCTCTTGTGAGCGTGCTCCCAAAGAGCTGGGCACAGCCTTAGGGGCGAACGGCTGTGTTGCACAACAGCCATGAGGCGACCACGCTCACGAGCAGCTGCCCGCCAACCTCCCTTTCCAGCCGGGCAGGGAGCCATTCACTGACCTAGGGATATCCTGAAGGCACCTGCCCCCCAGCTCCCGCAGCTTGGCACATTTGGGATACTCCCTAGGTCAGTGTATGGTGCTTTGCCTGGCTGAAAAGGAGGTTGCGCAAGCGCCTGTTCCGCCCCCAGCTCACATGCCTCCCAGCCACCGCGCTCTGAGCATAACTTCTTCTCCAGCTTCCAAACTCCAGAGATCGGCTGCTGAGTCTTCCGGCAGCAGCCACTCTGGGAGTGCACTCTGTGGTTGTGGCCCGACTGCCGGAAGACTCTGGTGGGACCAACCTAGCAACGTGAGCACCTTTCCCCCAGCTCCCGCAGCTTGGCGCTTTCGGGATACCGCTAGATTGGTGAGTGGTGCTCTGCCTGGCCAGCGGGGGGGTGGGGGTGTCCAGGAGCTTATTTTCAGGGGACAGCTAATATTTTTGCCCACCCGAAAAATATGGCACGGCCTTATTTTCAGGATATGTCGTATTTTGGGGAAAACATGGTAGCTTTTTGAGAAGGAAGCTTGTTTCTCATGTCTCTATTTCCTATTTTTTCTCATGTCCTTGCCAAATATTTTAGATCTTGAGTTTTCAAATTGAATTATTTGAAATTAGCGCTGTGCAATTCAAAGCAAAAATTGTAATTCACAGCCTATATGGGCATACATATAGCATCTGTTGGGAGTATCTTAAAGTGAAGTTCTCCCAGGATCATGCATCAAATCTGGAGAATCCCTCTGTGAATCCAGGTAAAAAGCTGTTTTCAAATGCTCCAACAAATATAATCCTTGAGTGGTGTTTAGGACTGTATACATATATATATGTATCCTTTGCATTATTTCTGTAGATTTTAACCCAAAATAGAGGGAGAAAAGCTAAAGACCAGCCTGTAGAAAAAGTGAAGAAGAAGCCAGAAGGAACTGTCTTCACTGAAGAAGACTTCCAGAGATTTGAGAGAGAGTATTTTGGAAGAGCTGGAACAATCTGACAAAAAAAACCTCATTGCTAAAAATATCAGCATCAGTGAGCAAATGCGTGCCAGTCTTATTATGGTTGGGAAGTACGTCTATTATAAGGTTACAGTATTTCTACATATGGTCTGCTCGATTGTTGCACTTCATATGGAATGACGGTTTGTGCCCAGAGTAGAGAATCCAGATCTTTGATGCTGAGTTTGGATATATGACTCTTTAAGATTATCTTTTGACTCTGCTAGAAAAAAATATCTATCTTGAACCAGACAAAACAGTCTTTTGTCACATTTGTTAGGAGTAAATTAAGTTAACAAGTACTTTCTATACATATGAAAGAGAGAATTTGGATTGCATGTTGCAATATCAGAGCTGAAAGAATATGCCTTATTGCACAAAGTTACACTTCTGGGTAGTAATATGAAACCTTGATTTAATTCATAGCCAAATATTTTAGTTCATTTATAACAACATAGAAACAGTTATTTATAGGCATTTGAAGTGCTTCCGCGAGGATATCAGTTATTTTTGCTATACTTAAGATGCAAGTATAAGTCATTTTTTGTGATATCTTTTAGGAAAAGGGTACCCCTGCAATACTCTTTTCTTCTCAAAAGGTAGTATGTATAATTTCCTACCATATTGTTAGTTACTTTACAAGTGTTTTTTGAGTTTATTCAATGTGTCATTTGTCATTTTTTTAATAAATGAAATTTTTTTTTTATAGAAATAAGATGGCCAATTACACCAGACTGTTCAGGCAAAAAATTGTTTCTGAAGTACCAGAAATAAATAGCCTAAGTATATTATATCATTTTTAGAAGCAAGCAGATAAAAGAAAAATTAAAAGATTTTTTTCAAGAACAAGAGTGGGTCAGAGGGATAATCAAATGTTAAACAGTGGTTGGAAAATTCATATTGATGCAATATTTATAGTAGTAAAATTATGCATTATTTCATAACTGCAGTTACTACCTAAGAACAGTAATTTGTGCATTTTACTAAAATCATGCAAACACACTGAAACATGATTTTTTTCATCCCTTACTCATTACTTTAATTGGGTTTGGGATAATCTATTTAATTTTTTAAAAACTTTTGTATTATGTGTTTCTTTTAATGTTGTATACCGCCCTGAGTCCTTGGGAGAAGTGCGGCATATAAATCTAATAAACCTAAACCTACTAGCATTAAGCTAATTATTATATGTATCAT